ATGAGCCAAAGATACATCTGTGATCACTGAACGGCAAATATTCAGCTTCTATTCTCAAGTGAGAGCAGCTGTAAATCAATCCACAAGAAGAGGAAACAACTACAGATCTGTTTTTTCTTTTTTTCTGATACATATAATTGTCTATGTTTGCATTATTCCAAAGTCTGACAGCTCATGGCAGATGGCAAAGACAACGCAAAACAAAAAGATGTCCCGACTACAGCCAGAAAAATGTACTCTGCAAACAAAAATCGTACGGGCGTCAATCCATAAAAAAGGCGAAAGAAATGTGGACGAAATAACATTCTCATAACACAACCCCATAGTCTTGTTATGTATTAGGACGACTTTAGAATGCCTTGAAAAACAGGTTGGGCAACGATCAGCCAATCAGCTCGTCCCACAGCTTGCGGATCTTACTTAGAAGTTTGCGATGATTTAAACATTTTTGGTTTTGTTAGGAGAAGGGACTTATTTTGTATAGATTTTTATTTGTATACATTCTTGTGCCTTCTGCTATAAGTATTCTAGCATCTTTTAGAATGGCATCAAATACATACGTGTTGCTTATACTAAAATTAACTGTAATATTTATTGAGTAAAGCTCCCATTCAGTTATACTTAAAAACAAAGTACCAAAAATCCACACAAAAATGAAACTGAAATATTGGATTAAATCTATTTTATTTACAATACATATTTTATACATGTACAATATTTCACCTCTGTCATATAAAAGTGAAAAAGAGAGGACCATCCTCCCTCAGCCAATCAGCTCTCAGTACAAAGCATTAAGTAGTGACTCAAAGGGCTTTGAATCTACAGTGCAATTAAATACATCTTTTTTTTTTTTTCAATAAAGACTTTGTTTTGTGGCCTGATTTCTTCACAAAATGTCACTATTACAAGTCACTGGGAAACATTGCTCTATTTTAGAAAGACAAAAATCAGGTACCCCAGCTTTAAAACAGATAATCAAGAGTTTTGTTTTACGGCTTTGGTCCCAATTCCCAAGCTTCTTCTCAAACCAATGAACAAGAAACGCATCTTCTTTGCTCAGTGTCCGTCCTACAAGCAGTAAGTAAGTAAGTAAGTAGTAAACTTTTATTTATATACCGCCTTTTCACTGCACATCGGAGTCTCAAAGCGGTTTACAATTGTTGGGTGGGGGTGCCAGTACAGGAGGCACATGCCATACCTATTGTACATATTTTTAGTGGTAGGGGAAACCGGAGCACCCGGAGGAAACCTACGCAGACACGGGGAGAACATGCAAACTCCACTCAGAAAGGCCCTGGTCCAACCGGGATTCGAACCCAGGACCTTCTTGCTGAGAGGCGAGAGTGCTATCCACTCACCCACCGTGCCGCCCAGAACTGCTGCAGTGTTTGTTTATCCCAATTTTGACGGTTGTGTTGTTTGCTCTGCATCAGGTTGGAGATCCTGGAGGCGTTTCGCTGCAGGAGCTAAAGTCCCACACCCAAAATGAACAGGATATGAGCATAAAAGTGTAAAGCGCACACGCCTTTCTCAAATAGACATTCCTCTGCACCAGAATAAAGCGGCTGCAGAGGAGCCATAGGGCACAGTACTGCTGCGGCCTTTGGAAGAGATTTGGGAGGCGACAGGTACGTTCAAAATAACAATAATAATGAAAAACTTCCATTGAAATGATTAGTAAATCCAGGAAGTAGACAATGTTGTAATTGTATATGGTTTAGTTACTCTTTGTAACTGTATGTGGTCTGCTACTGTGTGCCAAGTTCAATTACATATTGGATTTGCAGTAGAACCACTATCGGAAAACTGTGCAAGACTACCCCAGTGTGCTCCAGACATTGCTTTTCAGCCTTGTTTGCATTTGTATACATGGCAAGTGTACATAACGTTTATATACACGTTCTTACTATTGCTCTTGCCTTTTAACTTCATGTAACCACTTCATTTACTCTGCTTGGGGATTTTATCATTGGATGCAGTTGGTAGAAAATGCAATGTTTTTTGTAAAGAAAGAATAGATTCCAATATTGTCTGTTTTATATTTTAGATAATAAAAGTATGGGCCGTCTTTCAAAGTCAAAGAGTGAACCAATATTTGCAGACATTTCAAATCAAAAGATGGTTGAATGTTATTATTTTGTGTTGTGCTTTGTGTTGTCAGAATGTCAGAAAGCCCTCAGCTGCAGGGGTACGGTCCACTTCTCCGAACGCTGGTCTGGTTTGTCCGGCTTGTTTTATGTTGCCTGCGATTCTCACTCGGACTCAGGCAGCTAAAGCAAGTCTGAGTGGCCATGACGCCTTCAGCTCCTCCAAGGAAAAAGCCCGAGAAAATTATTTTGGATTAATATTTGACTCACACAGAGACACTGTGGTTGAGGCTAGTTTATCTCCTGCTGTTTATTTCTCTAATAAAGGTTTGATACTTCATACGGATTGCGATTATTTTGGGAGGTTTTTACACATTAGCCTACATTTTCTATTGAGACATATTGAGGTTTCAAGATTCAAGAATATTACAGAATGTATTTGCCGTTTGCAGTAAAACCACATTGGAAAAACTGTGCAAGACTACCCTAGTGTGCAGCAGGTAATACACACCAGAGCTCCTGCCACCACACCATGCAAGTTGTGTGTATTTTGATAAATTGTCAATCATATAATTTATTGTGATGTCAAAATATTCATGTCGTTCGTGTGTCTGGGTGAGTTTTTTCTGGTTTCCGCATCAGCGCTCAGCAGAATGACTGAAGGTGAGTATTTATAGTATGTTTGGAGGAGCCAATGGCATAGACGGGTTGCCTCACTTCCGTCTGTCTACCTCAAGGCAGCTGTGGCCATAGCGGTCATTTGTAGTATTCCCATTGCTGCAGCTTGAGTCCTGACTAGAACCAGGAAGTACAGTCTCATTAGTCCAGTTCTCAGGTCTCTCTGCACCTGTGGCTCAGAGAATAGACTTTAAGGCAGCTCTGATTGTCACAAGTCTCTCCATGGCCTCGCACCAAAATACATCTGTGATTTAAAAAGGAGAAAACTGAGGCATTCAATGGGTGCAGAGAAAAAGTTAAAAAGCTTTCTCCTTTTCTTTGATTTTGGTCCCCAATCCGAAGAGCACCAAAATAGATTCATGTGACCTTGCTTTTTACATCTGTGATATGTTAGTGCCATATGAACCAAATATGAGGAGCACAGGGACTGGCCTCCTGCTGGTGCCCACGTTAACTGTACCGTTATCGTTTATGATTTGAACACATTTTCTTGTTTTATAAGCACTTTGAGTTGCCTTGTGTATGAACTGTGCTCTATAAATACATTGACATTACCTTGCCTTTAGAGCCACTGTGAATGAAATGGTGCGAATTCGGAGTCCTCAACAGAGAACGATATTAAGAATGTTATTATTATTAATCATTATTATCGTAAAAAGTCCAATAGCCGCTTCGTTATGTGTGTCTTTTTGAAAAAACTCAACATCAAGGCCAAATTTTGAACTCCCATCGACCAATTTTTCTGTCATATCCTCATATACATCTGCCTGCCCTTTGTAATTCTAGATTTTTATTTTTGCTCCAATTATCCAGTTTTATCAGGCAGTAGATTAAGTCAGATAAGGGGTGTTATTGTTCCCTGTGGCTCATTGATGTTTGCCAGGTCACGTGGTCATGTGATCCCATCTCCAGCTGCTCTTTAGTCTAATGAATGTGCTGCATGTTTATATTTAATTAAAGTGAGAAGCCTAATTATTACAGTAGAGCATCACACCGGAGGATTATACTTTTGAAAATGTTAATTTCTTAATTCTGATATTGTCCTGTTTTTAATGTCTTTTCTCACAAACCTCATCTTGATTGCTGTATACATCTTAATGTCAGCTTTTAAAAAATAATAACTTCATACAAATACATAGGCTTGCTAAACTAAACCTTTGATCCTTTATAACCCCATTTGGCATAAAAATCTACCCGAAAAGGCATTTCGATAGGTGAATTTTTGACATTAGGGCACAATTACCTAATGTTTTGCGTCTTCAAATAATATTAATAAAAAATTCTGTTTAAATATAAACTATTGGCACGAATGATGCACTTAAATAATAGTTTTTATCTGATTGGATTGTCACAACTGGCATTTTTGTGTTTCTTTTGAAAGACAAGTTAGATGTACCCACCTGCTCAAAAGTGCCTTATTTTAGCTTTTGTAATGTTTCCTATTTGTCTTTTTGCTAAGCGTTTTTGAATGTCAGAAAGTGTGATGTATTGTGATGCAACTTGTCTTTCAAAAGAACCTTAAACATCAGAAAAAAACGAATCTCTTTGAATGACACTAAAGTTTTCCGGTCACTCCATTAACGTCATTACGCAGGGCTTCTCTGTAAAACCAAACCAAACACAATCTCTTACACACCACGTCTTCATTTTTTTTTACGATCTTGTCACATTCACCATAAAGCCATAAAACTCTAAAAGCCACGGGACAGACGCTGCGTAACTGTATATGTCCTGCGTCTGCAATTGTTTTCCCGTGCGCAATGGACCGTGCCGCTTGCGTAAAATGCGCGTGGAGGCCTGAGCTGTTTGCCCACAGCTAAAGAGGCGGAAAAGTGCGCAGGATCTGAACTGGTTTCCATGTCAAACACTTCAATTCACCATAGAAACTCAGATCTTAACGCGAGAGGAAACTTTATTAAACCCTGATGGTGGATTGATAAGGGCCCAATTTCTCGGGGCCTCTTTTTATTGTGGGCAGGCAGCGCTCTGACAGAGGTAAATTGCTCTTTTAATTAAAGCAATGCAGCAGGGGAAATTGCTGTCTGAATATTGTCTCAGAGATGGGGGCCTCTGACAGTTGCCTGGAAACTTCAATGCGTCGCGTTTATTCCAGATCGCAGTTATGAGATAAAGTTTAATAAAAAATCTTTTGGAGGAGGCGAATGAAAGGGGAGCCAGGGCGACGCCTCGAGCACAAAGAAGCAGGACAGCGGAGGATCTAGCCCCGAGCTCAACATGTATCTCCCAGGTCTGCAGCGGGGATGAGAGTTGGCATAAGCTGGGGAAGAGGTGGTGGTGGTCTGCGGGTGGGCCAGGGTGCGCGCGGTGCCTGGTCTATCCGTGGGTCTAACAGTATACGCTGGGGTTTTGTTTTGTTTTTTTCTTAAGGGGAAATGAAAGCGGTGGGTCCACAGCGCAGCGTTCATGGACTGACTCCTTTGTCGGAAATCGGAAATCCTTTTTCCTGGACGCGTTTCCTGCTGGTTCCTTTTGAGCGGAGTCGGAGCCAGACACACGCGCGACAAGACTCACTCCCACAGCGGACCGACAAGGGGGCTCACGAGGGACCAATCTTTACTGCAGATTTAGACTTTAAATTCTTTGACGTTTTAGTTTTTATGTTGACGTAAAGTTTAAATTCAAATGGAAACAGGAAGAAGACGCGCTGGGATCATTATTTAGTTTTTGGATTTATTCAATTCAAACAGAGACTTTCAGACAAAGACTTTTCTATTATTTTATCCTTTTTGCAGCGAAATTATTCTTTGTTTAATTTTATCTATATATACATTGTTATATTTTGTTTAGCCTCCATTACATCGTTTTCAATGTTTACCGTGTCTAAAATGCGTAAAACAATGGGAAGTGAATTATAAAACACGGATGGAATAAAACATAATTTAAAGGATACATTTTTGTTATTTATAGCATAGAATCAATTCAATAAAATAATTAAGAATATTTACAACCCAGGTAACCCAAGAGTCTGGCAGGAGGTGGGAGGGTTTCATTTGAACCTGCAGTAGGAAGACGATACTTCGGGATTGCATAGACATAACTGTGTGTTTTCATTTCAGATCCGACAGAAAACCTGTTGAAGGAAACCAAAGGAACATCATGGGCTCCTATCAACACAGGCGTACAGAAAGGTATGAGCAAGATCATTACAACCACATCACAACCTCTTTACATATAACCCACAAACATAAAAAGGCTAAATTTCTGTTGGAAGCTGGAACGAGCGCGTCATTTGTATGCGTAATTGTATGCGTAAAAGGACATTTGGCAAATAGGTAAGTTTCTTGTGACCAAATCCTAAATGCACCATTATAGGACATGTAATTGCGTCCTAAAAATAGCATGTGTATTTTTCATTTTGATTCTGATGTGTTTGTAGCGCGGCCTCAGCAGCTCATTCATTGGCTCTTTGGGTTATTGGTTAATTGTAATTTTCCTCTTATTTGTAGCCTAATCATTATTATATTAGCTTCTCCAACATATTAGCAAGATAAGGCACGTTTATATGTATTGCGCAATCCATGCAGACGGGGCCACTCAAAGTGCTTTATAAATCCAGAGAGAACGCGGTCAAATCGAAACGTTAAAATCATAAAAAAACAAATTAAATCACAAATACTGCCAAAATAATCATACTTTCACAGAATTACTTTTAAAAGATCATTCAGACCTGATACATGCAGGATTTAATATTACTAACGTAAAAGAGATGTATTGAAAAAACAGCCTTCACGTATAATTATTGCTTGTTCTGTGTCTTTGATGCATGTGTTGTAAAGAAGTTTCAATTTTATTCGGCTGGTGTAAACGGATGTATAATAATATAACAAAACAAATAATAAGGATACTACTAATAATAATGATAATAATAATAATAATAATAATTGCAATGATAATGATAACATACATTTTATTTTTATGGCGCGTTTCCGGGCTCTCAGGTGATCTTTCAGAAGTATTTGTCGTTCTTTGCCGATGCAGGAGGGTGATATTTATGGGCATTGAGGAACATGTGGACTTCTTTCTCCTCCCTTTGGACCAATGGCACCTTTGTTTTTGTTATTATTAGTCAATTTGTTCGAATTTTATGATCAGATAAAGTCGTCTGAGGCTTTTGTGATTTAGAGCTGTAGAAATTTAAAATGAATCCAACTTTATATAAATGAAAAATAAACGTTTAATGTAACAGACTGAAAAATTGCAGTTTGTTTATGGTCAAAACACATTCTAGCACGTTTCAACCATTGTCATTGGCTTACGTATGCATAATTAGTTACACCTAATTTTCTCATTATAATATCTGCCAAAGATGAAGACAGAAATCTAATGCACACACTTCATAGCCTTGTTTCTGTCTCCCCCCTGCAGGCAGCGGTCAGATCCAGCTGTGGCAGTTCCTCCTGGAGCTCCTCTCAGACAGCTCCAACATGTCCTGCATTGCGTGGGAAGGAACCAACGGGGAGTTCAAGCTCATAGACCCGGACGAGGTGGCCCGGCGGTGGGGGGAGCGCAAGAGCAAACCCAACATGAACTATGACAAGCTGAGCCGCGCATTACGCTACTACTACGACAAAAACATCATGACCAAAGTGCACGGCAAACGCTACGCCTATAAATTTGACTTCCACGGCCTGGCGCAGGTCTGCCAGCCGTCCAGCACCGAGCAGGCACTGTATAAGTTCCAAGGTAATTTCTCTCCATTGCCGTTCTCTGGGATCTCCAAGCTGAACCTTGTGGGACCCGTGGGGAGCATGGGGCCGTCTGGGTTCTCGTACTGGACCGGGTCGCCCTCCTTGTACCACAGCCACAACCTGCAGCCTCCCTTCGGCACCGTGTCGCCCTCTCATATCGGCTGCGTGAACAACCTGAGCGGCTTGGGCAACATCAACACGCACTACAACTGAGACAATACAGCACAGAGAAACAGTCAAGGTGAACTGCCACAACATGGAGGAGATGCAGATGATTTTGTAAAAACTCATTACACCGAAAAAAATGATACAATATGAATTATAATTGCCTGAATACATTTTTTTTACCCTTTATTTGGATTACCTCATTGGGATTAATAATCTCTTTTTCGAGAGTGTCCTGGACAAGAGGCAACACATTCAACATACATTTACAACATAAAGAAATACAAGCTAAAATAAAAGTTAAAAGATTGAGATAACTCATGAAAGCATCAAATGAAGCCAACACAACTCAAAACATAAGAAATATTTCATATAAAACAGGTACAAAGTGTGTTCAATTTATCTCAATCTGAGCACATTCTGAGTGTGTTCAAACAAGATTCTTCAATGAGACAAAGCCCTTTACCGTTTCTTGTATTTTTTTTAAAACAAGCTTTTTTTGCTTTGTCCCATGTATTGTTGAATCTCGTTTAATGACAGTCAAAAAAAATGGCTCAAATTGAGAGACATTTTGCCAAATTTGAGCCATTTTTGACTTATTTGGCCCAGTCCCAATACCCACACTGCACCCTACGCCCTCCTATGAAGTGTGCATTTGTTTGAAGTGCGCGCAAGGGTTTGAGTGCGCAGGTTGCAAGCGTGCACAAAAGGTGGAATTGGGACATTGCACACTGAGTGCAGTTTACGTCATCGACTCGTCAAGAGATGGTCATTTTAAGACCTAAACTTTATAAAAATTAAAGGTAATTTTGTCTGACCCTTTGGGAAACAATATGAATTGCTTCACACACGTTATAATACATTTATATTAGTTGTTTTTAATTAGAGATAGCGGTATAATTTTTAAGTTAAAATGTGGGTAACTAACTATCTGGTCAGTTTTTATACATTCTAAGATTATTGTACTAAGTGTAAAGTTTAAATTGAATGTTATAGAAACGCTTGCTTTAAAAAGTTATTAAATTGTTAAAAACACAATGTCCGTAATTCTTCATCAGACGTTTATGCTTCTTTCCAAGTAACATAGCAAAACTTATTTACACACATACTGCATATATATTTCAAAATGTATATTTAATTGCATTTTCCCGTCGTTTTGGTGTCCCGTCGCAAAGAATTATGGGCAATATCCTTCGCCAGAGTGTGCATAGATGCAGGCTACGGCGAAGTGTGGATCAGGGGCGCAAAGGGGGCGGGGCCAAAGACCTCCCTGGAGAATTGGGACACCCTACGCACTCGCACACTTTATCGGGAACGCGCAAATGAGGGGCGCGAGGGTGGAAGTGCGAGTATTGGGACGGGGCCAAAGGTCATCGCGTTTTGCAGTGCAGCTGTGAATAGCTTCCCCTAGAATCAAAACGTTGTGTATCCATATTTTTGTTGAGTCTTATTTTTATAGTTCATTTAAATATCTCAGATTTGAAATGTTGTCAAAAAGTTGCATTCATTCAGCTACAATCTGCAGCATGTTTTGTTATTGACGGTAAAATTGGAAGAATTTGCTGAAAAGGGGAAGACACGTTCTTTGCATAGCACTATTCTTGCTTTTCAAAACACTACACTATAGTCTTAGTTTTAAGCTTTTCAAATATGTTTCAAATGGCACTTGTCTGTTTTTGCAAATGAAATATTCACGTATTTGTGTTTAGGCCTTTTTTTCTGTATTTACAGGCTTGATCAATCAATAGTTTTAAAACAAGGATTAGGACGAGTGCTTTAAAGTCCAGCAGTAAGAAATCAATTGTGCTTTTAATCAAAATCAAACTATGAATTATTGTACAAACACAATTAAACCAGTTACTCACAAGGAATTTGCTTTTGCTATATTTTAAAAGAGCACATCATTGATATAGACTGTTTTGTTGTAACAGTAAAAAAAGCCATAGTGTCAGAATAAAGTTATATCACAAATGTTTTGCATACTTGTCAAGAAAGAACCCCGTGAGTAATTGTTGACGCTTATAGGCTGAGAGCTGATTGGCTGAGTGAGGATAGGTTCTCTCTGTTTCACTTTTCTGTCTGAAAAAAAAAGCTGATCTAAAAATGTGACAGAGACCAAAAATACACACATGTGAAAACTGTAGCGATAGAACCAACTCGTGTTAGAGCAAGTGAAATAGTTACATAGATAGAGTTCCATTGCTATGAAAGATAGGTACAACAACTTCAGCGATGGGACGAATTCAATGGAATCTAAAGGCAACACGAGTATGTAAATTATTTCCGAGTGTTGTACCCATTTATCCCATATACGTAATTTCCATTCGTCATTTTTCTTTCCCTATTATAAACTATTCACGTTAAATTCCCATACAACCGAGAAAAAAAAATTGATTCGTAAATACCACATTCAGAGCAGAGAAGGTAAAAATGTCGCTTTTACGCACAGTGCTTAGGCCTTTTCCGACGTAAAAGTTTTTAAAAGAAGGGGACTCTTTTTGTAATACATTTGTATTCTTTTGTTTTGCATTTACAGCTTAATTTATAAGAGGGAATCTAATTTATAGAGTCCGCAAACTGTCTTTTTTTTATGTGCATTTGGGTTGGTGAACGAGCGAACTTTATCAATGGTGCAATGGCGACATCTAGCGGCAAAATAAACGTGTGCATTTTGTTGACAGGAGGAAGAAGGAAGTCAAACTATTATAGATCGACAAGAGAAACTGAAAAATGCTGCAATTACTTTGTTGTCTTATGATTTAGAAAATGACTAAACTCTAAGGGCTGCATTAAAACTCTCGGGAGCCCTTAAAGACGTTTGTTTTGGATTGCTATTTTAGACTGCAGGCAGTAGAAGTGTCTGTGTTCACATATTGATGTAAATACTGTGAGATATTCTGTATGTTAAAAAGAACACTTCAGAAGTAGGAGTAAATACAAATAAACATTGACTTGTCTTGTCTTAATTTGTATACTGGGATAGAATTTATAACGCTGAATTACATATAAATAAATATATTTGTAAATAAACAGGATTGAGCTATTGGTCAACCTGGATTACGGGTGGAAACTATAGCATTTTGAACCAAAACCTGGCACATGACATATCTTTTTTATAAGACTTATATTTACTGTGTATTGTCCCTGTTCAAATACATTTAATTAACTTCAATAAGATGAAGTCTCAATGCTTTGGTCTGATTTATTCACTAAACTGTCTCAAAACTATTTCATGTTGAGACAAAAAACAGCATGTGTCATTTATGAAACAAAATCTATCATATTGAATTTTGACAAAACATTGATCTTTAGCCTTCAGCAGCTAGCTACAGCCCCAAGCTAAACAACAGACTTTAACATCTTCACCAGAGTCTGACACTGAGGCTGAAATTGGAGAAACGGTGTTCACATGATTGTCACAAATTGTACATTTAAGTATTTTTTTCTATTTGTAAATTTTTCAGTGTTAAAAATTAGCACGGTCCTGTCATGACACTAAAGGTCCGTCCAAGGTAACTGTTGTGTCCATAGCCAATAAATAAATACATAATAAACATATACATGAATGAATGATTGAATGCATGAATGAATAATTAAATACATAAATAGAAAGATAAATAAATAAATAAATAAATGTATAAATAAAAATAGAGGCCAAACACATTATGTGCCTGTGCAAACGATTAATTTAAGTAGTTCATGGATCTCAAAACAGAATGGCTCCACATAGCGTTTTGAGAGCCATGAACTAGATGAATCGTATACATAGTTCCTACATGACGTCATTACATACGGGGATTTGCCGACCCGGCGCCATTTGTGTTGGCATTCTGTGGGCAAAACAATAGAAAAAGAAGCTGAAACGTGTTAATGTCGTGATAAAGTTGAAAATGGTCATCTCCTGCTGGGTCAATGGATGTTCAAATCGTGCCGGAGGTTCCGTTAAACTTGGATTTTACAGTATACCCATCATTAGACTCCATGAATGTGAGAAGACTAAGCTTTTGTCAGAACAACCACGGAGGTTATGGCTTGCGAAGATAAACAGGCAAGAAACTCCCTCAAAACACGCAAGAATATGCTCGGAGCACTTTGTGTCAGGTGCGTATCGTATCTTATAATGTGTTGACAGACGTAATTTACTCAGTACTAACTTGTGTATGCTGATATCTGGTAACTTGAGAGTTTCATTATTTAGATTACTTTATTATGAGGAGGATCGGTGTCGCGTCCGAGGCTCTCGAGGGCAACGTAAATGTATTAAATAGATAATAATAGTTCTATGGTGGGCTAAAACAATGTTCACAAACAGCATTGCTTCTGTAAAAAGATCTGTGTCATAAAATAAACTGCTCTTTACGCCTGGAAAAATCAGTTGCCCACCATTCACCAAAACATACGGTCAAAAACGCGGAAATAAACAATAACAGCAATCCAGAGTGTCCGTGTGGCATTAGCATTAATTAAATTAATTGTTAATATAATTAAAATAATTAAATGGAGCTCCAACTGGTATTAAATCTAAAGTTTTTGAGAAATGTTTGCATTGCTTGTTAATTTTTGCTGCATAATTTGATCAAATATGTAAAACATGTCCGTAGCACGTTAAACTGTGGTGCCATTGTATTAATATACAATTATTTGCTCAAAAGTTGCCCTTTTTTTCCAATTTGCGTTTGAATATCTACATTTATTCTCATTCTTCTGTTTAATGGAATGCACAAACACAGCAGCGTGCCATCAAAGATGGCGTCTCCGAGGAGGTCATGTGACATTCATTGGTCTGTGGGAACTATGTATTAAATAGCTTATTATCTCATTGAATTTGTGACATGCACTTGTGACCACAAGAGGGCGCCCTGACTCTTTCCACACAGTCCCATTTTTTTTTACATAAGCAGGTGTTCCAGAGTAGCCTGGCTCTGCCAGACCCTTGTAGTTCCGCCATGCTCCACCAGAGGCGTTTAGCTGAACCACGAAGTGCAGCGAACTACAGTACATGGGTCTGGCGAGAGTCAGGCTAGTTCCAGAGGGGAGCTCAAAGCTTC